CATCTATTCGCGGAGAAATCTGAAGACATCTAGTAATCTCAGCACTGATATATTCTGCACTGTCATCTTGCTCGATTCGTTTCAATGTACGGTTTACCGTCAGATCAAGAGGAGAAAGCAAATGGGTGAGGTTCTTAGGTACATCACTAGCAACTATATTCAATGATGGCAATAGGTTCTGTACTTTAGATGCAGTATGACCACGGAAATCATCCCATATTAAGAGTGCCTTTTGATTTTATGGGAGTCCTAGTTTCTTGATAACTTGATCAACATACGGCTTGAGAATGGAAAATTTATACGACACAAAATTTATAACCCATAAATTTTATACGACATAAATATTATACGAAAAATCGAAATTCGTATAAATATTGTGATGTATAAATATTGTGTACTAAGGTATATCTTTATGAAGGAGCAAGCTAGAAAAACTTTCCGGTAGATTTTCAGAATGCTTGAACAATTATCTAAGATGAAAATTTCCTCAGATTTTGAATAAAATTACTCCTTAATGGTTTAAAATTAATTTTAAAAGTTATTACTTTGTCAAAAATCAAGTTTTAAAAATGGTTAACTTGATGACGTCATCAAGGGGTGTTTATGACGGCGTATAATTTTTTTATACAATGTAAACTAAAGTATAAACAATTATTTGCAAAACCTGTGGTCGGAAATGGCTGTATCTTTTATACTTTTGAATTTATGGACAATTAAATACAGGCTTCAATTGACTGGCAAAGCGTCTATCCCTGAATATATGTATATATGTATGTATCACGACAATCTATCGTAAAACAGGGGTTCTAGAAAACCCACTTCCCGATGCTCCTGAAACCTGAAACTTTTTTTGCAGTCGATTTGGTCAACGTCTAGACGCCATAAAAAATTTCAGATCTCTAACTCAATTTTAACATGGTTTTTAAGGCACCTGAATATGGCGATTTTGGGTTTTTTACCGAATTTCGTATAACAGTGCTGGCGAGTATTTTATGCAAATTTCTTAAAAATCTCAACATAACTATTTTTTATTCCTGTCATCTTTGACATCAAATTAGAATGTTTTGAACTAAAAATAAATCTGCTGAACGACTTCCGATGAGTCTTAATGCCTGAAAAACTCGTGCCGGAGGAGGCGGCCTTCGGCCGCCGCCTCCGGCCGGAATGCACGCTTCGCGTGCACGAAAGAGGCTTCCGACGAGTACCAAAGGGGTTATAGTAGTAAAGGGGGTATAATAGTAAAGGGGGTACAATAGTTAAGGGGGTACATAGTATACCCCCAATAAAGACACCGCTCGTGCTTGCCAGCACTGTGATATATATATATGTATATATGTATATATCACGACAATCTGTCGTAAAACAGGGGTTCTAGAAAACCCATTTCCCGGTGCTCCTGAAACTTGAAACTTTTTTTACAGTCGATTAGGTCAACGTCTAGACGCCCTGCAAAGTTTCAGATCTCTAACTCAATCTTAACATGGTTTTTAAGGCACCTGAATATGGCGATTTTGGGTTTTTTACCGAATTTCGTATAACAGTGCTGGCGCGTATTTTATGCAAATTTCTTAAAAATCTCAACATAACTATTTCTTATTTCTGTCATCTTTGACATCAAATTAGAATGTTTTGAACTAAAAATAAATCTGCTGAACGACTTCCGATGAGTCTTAATGCCTGAAAAACTAATTCAATAAGTGATAACTACCACCCGAAATACTAGGTATCGACCCGAACGCAACCTAAAGAGATTTTTACAGCATCTGATTGATGTACCTAATCAATCGAAACTTATTATACAATTCGTAAGCCGTGAATGAATGGGAAAAGCGAGCGACCGATTTCATTCTTGGTATCATTTTGCATTTGAGAACGGTCAATCAAATTAATATCATTTCCTTTTGTTTGGGAAAGAGAGACACTGGCAGCGGTCCACTCTACCCATGATTATGGGTTTTGGTCAAATGGTTGTAATACCGATTAAGACGAATCTTTTAGTACCAAATTTATAATAGTTAAACTTTAACTATTATAAATTTGGTACTTAAAGACACAAAATTTGTAAAAAAATGTGTACAATTTGTACAAAATTTATACAAGGGGGGACCCTTGTGTTCGAGCTGGAAAATTATTTAAGACAATTTGTCTTTTAAAATCACTTATTTGGTACTAAAAGATTCGTCTTCTCAAGCTGATTACGATTCTGTAGAAATTATTTCAAAAAAACTGATACTTTTTGAGTTATGGGCATTTTAAGCCTTACATCTGCCATGTTTGGCCCTTTTTTACGATGAATTTTACTAAGTCGTTTAAGGCCACATTTTATACCTTAAAACTCAAAACTGAGAGAAATCCTGTCCCAAAAAGTTGGATATGATCATCAGCTACACTCAAAAGAATTTTTGAAGCGATATCTGATGACCTGGGCGAGTGGTAAAATGTACAACTTTCGTGGTAGGCAAAAATCCCAATTTTTCTTTTTTTCACCTTGTTCGGTCTGTAACTTGGTCATTTATTGTTCAATTATATAATCCTTTAGAGGGTTGTCTTGTACGGAGTGTAAGTAATGTTCAGTAAAAAATCAGCCTAAAAACTTTTAAAATGGCCGAACTATCGGTATTACAGTGACAGACTTCTCCAAATATTAAAAATTTTCGAAAAAGAGAAATATTTTTTTTCTCGATGAGGGACTATTTTTAGAAAATTTTGAACGTGTGCAATTTTATTTTTTTTGTCTATTTAACCATAATATAAAATAAAATCGATGTTCGGAGCAAAAATTCTTTTGAATTTTGTGGCATTGGGGTTAAGAGTGATTTGAGGTGTGTCAATGGTCAACTCGCTGAAAAATTCTTTTGAATCCTCATCGGATGATTTATTTATAGATTTATAAACGACACCAATTATTGCTCCCTTTTGCTGAACTTTGATTTTCTGAAGCATATTTTGTGTATTATTTCAGGGGCGCGCTTGCCAGCACTAACTATTCTGGAAATATTTACCATTCGTTTGAGCCATACTGATAGAATCAAACTGGTTCATCAATATAAATATCATCAACCAGATGTGATAAATGATACAAGCAGCATAAAAAACGTTCATTACAAACGATGTTTGCAATTTAACAGATTGACTGATCATACGATCAACTCAATTTTTTATTTGTAAATAAAAAATTGTTTGTTTTTTCGCACCTCTGGTCAGATATAACGTAAATACGTTATATCTGACTAGACGAGAGGTGCGAAAAAAAAACATGGAGTATTTTATCTTCGATTGTCATGACTTCAACGACCAAATTCAATAAAAGGTGCAATTTTTCAAAGATATGTTTTGAAAGATATAATATTAAACGATATATTCGAAAGATATGATGTTACGATCTATATATAAATATTATATGAGCTGATGCATGCAGACAGTATATTTGTGAGTCACCGAAGGAATCAAACTATCGGTGGCATGCTTGTACACAATAAGTATCGTGCTGGTCGAACAGTGATAAAGAGAGAGAGAAACCACTGTCAGTCACATTCTTGAACCAAAAAATGGACTACTATACTACTAGTGCTGCATAGGAGAGATTTGCTCTAACCAGAGCCCTCTTGCTTTACTTGCAGAAGCGCGCGACCACCGTACGCGTATATACACATGGCTATGTGAAGGAGGGATAACTAAATCTGCCATCAACCCAAAAGAAGCTGAGAAAGGTATTTTATCACCACACCAAAGCATGGGAAATCCAAATGATCATGTTAATATAAAAGTCTGCTCGTTTGTCTATGTTACTGAAGGAAGTTGGGACAAACTCTAAAGAGGAACTAAACTGCGGACCCTGATACGGGACAGGGATATAGGGAGGGGGTTATCTGACGTAGATCGGACTTAGTTTCGACATATATATAATAGTACAGTAGTAGTACTAGTAGTAGTAGTAGTAGTACTAGTAGTTGTTAAGTTCATCACTTGATCCCCTAATAAATTACTTAGACTAAAATTCTTTTGAATTTTGTGGCATTGGGGAGACTCAAGAGTGATTTGAGGTGTGCCAATGGTCAACTCGCTGAAAAATTCTTTTGAATCTTCATCGGATGATCTATTTATAGATTTATAAACGACACCAATTTTTGCTCCCTTTTGCTGAACTTTGATTTTCTGAAGCATATTTTGTGTATTATTTCAGGGGCGCGCTTGCCAGCACTAACTATTCTGGAAATATTTACCATTCGTTTGAGCCATACTGATAGAATCAAACTGGCTCATCAATATCATCAACCAGATGTGATAAATGATACAAGCAGCATAAAAAACGTTCATTACAAACGATGTTTGCAATTTAACAGATTGACTGATCATATTGAATGTACATACGAACTCAATTTGTTATTTATAAATAACAAATTGTTTGTCTTTTTTCGCACCTCTCGTCAGATACAACGTAAATATGTTATATCTGACTAGACGAGAGGTGCGAAAAAAAACATAGGCCTGGAGTATTTTATCTTCGATTGTCATGACTTCAACGACCAAATTCAATAAAAGGTGCAATTTTTCAAAGATATGTTTTGAAAGATATAATATTAAACGATATATTCGAAAGATATGATTGATGATGTTACGATCTATATATAAATATTATATGAGCTGATGCGTGCAGACAGTATATTTGTGAGTCACCGAAGGAATCAAACTATCGGTGCCATGCTTGTACACTATAAGTATCGTGCTGGTCGAACAGTGATAAAGAGAGAGAAACCACTGTCAGTCAGATTCTTGAACCAGACTTCAGACCCTGCAGGCCAGGTATGCCCGCTGTTCGGGAGGCTGACAAGTGACAACGCAGAGTGCCAATATGCCTGTGGAAAATTCTATGTTTGCCAACAAAATGTCCTGTCCACTCAAGTTGCGTAAATATGTGCCATTCCAGTGAATCTTAATTGATTATGATACATATAATCTACATGGTTGTATATCTGAAAAATAAAAATAAAACACACATTCGGGTATCATTTAATTCTAAAGCAATCAAATTAGAAATCTGATTAATATTATATGTAGAAGGATATAATAATTAGGGACTGTTCACATAAAACCTCCTCCCCCTAGCATAGGCGTAATCAGTAATATGTGCACGATCCTTTAGAATAACTGTCACGATGCTAGTGCTACTGTAATACTAATACTAATAGTGTGCGTGGTAGATTGTTAACAGTAATAAGGTTCTCATACGTCACAAATAATGTTGCAATAATTTACGTAACAAGTTAAAACTCTTTCTGATGTAAAATAGTCAGGCAAGATTCCAAAAGTTTGTTATTGCAGTAAGCTCAGCCGAAAGTAAGTATTTATTTGTAGGTTTATAACCTACCTAGACGCGCACCGAGTTGGACTCGTCGACGGTATTGACAAATATATTACGAGCATCACCCGTTAAGTATTTATCACAAAATAAATAATTCAACGTGTGTAACTTATTTAAACCTTTTAATGCACTCCCATAGTTAACAGAAATACGAATTTTCTATCAAGAAACGTCTCATTAATAATTAAGCCATCTTCAAGACATTCTGCGGTTCATAAATTTGCCGGGTCAAGCATTATTGTGCTCATTTCCATTGAAAAATGTTAGGATAACGGATTTTATGCGTTCGTCACGTGTTAGTCTTTTCGTTGTGGAAAGACCTTTCTTGGTCGATTGATGTTTTGATCCGATCGTCATGGATCGATACTGATACTGAAATAAATCGAGTTTTATTTTAAATCACACGAAGTTTAACACTTATACAAGGACAATACAACTTCAATTTATTTAGCGTAACCAAAATGACCCCAAATTGGAAGAATTGAATAATATTTACCGTGAATTGCAGGGTCGTGGTGTTCGTTAAGATGGTCAATAGGTGTTTGTGAAGAAGGAGGTTTCTCACCCTTCTTTCTTGGATCAACTCTGGGGATATAATTTATCAAGGTCCAGACTCTAGTTAATTCTACATTTTATAATAATATAAATAGCTTAATGCAATATTCATGTGATATTGAAAAGGCTAAACTTAAGGTTAAGTACTAACTGAACTACTAACTTTCTGAACACGCTGTGTTTTATACTGTTACTGCAGCGGAATTCCTCCATATGTGCTGGGTCCATTTTTTTCTGGCTGGCAAGTTCCAATATATCCTCGCTAGACCTTGCTGCTATGCGGTCACTTCTGAAGTGTTAATTTCTATTAAATTAAAATACGGTTTGAATCAAAAGTCAGCAAACAACAAAAGATATGTTTGACTTTTCTTCAATTCTTTAATCAAGCTCAATGCTGATAGAAATATCAATAAATTGTCGCTGTAACTACTTTATAGGTTTATGAAGTTGCTCCAACTTTACAACTTACCCAGCGGAATCGAAATCATTCTTTAAAAATGGAGCGTGTTTTTCAGGATCGATTCCTTGTAGGACGATCCGGGAGTGACAAACCAGCAACATTTGGTTCTTGAACAAGGGGTATCTTTCCATCAGCGAGTAGAACATATACTTCGGTATCATTAGGAAATCGCAAGCTGTTTCCGCGTACACAACCATATCGGCCTTTTTCTTGAGCAGCATCGGTGTTTCTGAATTTTAAGAATGGATCAACTTGATACAAGTTTAATTCTTTAAAGTTATAAACTTGTTATAACTTATTGGAACGGAATCAATGCATCTAGGGAAAGAAAAGGAAGTTATATCTTTTGTTAACTGACCACCAAAAAAACCGAAACTTCTGACAATGATCTCGTCTTCAAGAGTATTCCCTGGAGTTGTGAACTCGATACTGACCGTTCCTTTCTTGATAACGAACAGATTCTCAATGATATCTTCTGATCGGATGATTATGTCGCCAGTCATGTAAACCGACCCTCTGGTTGGTTTTTTAATTTAATTATATACAGGGTGGCCCAGAAAACACTACCCATCCTTATCTCTTTAAATTGTTACAGGTCGCTGAGATCTTGCTAATTATTTTAAAAACAAAAAGTGGCATAACGTATGTTCTGATAAAGATTTTTGCTTCTAAATTTCACAGAATGTTGATAACAAGTAGCTAAACCTTTGTGGCAAGTTTTGTGTGAGTGCGAGCTTCACTGAGCTTATTCGACCAATTTAGCCCCTGAGCGAGCTAGCTTGAATTTCTCACCCAGAACTGTTTACATTGGTTAATAGAAACCACAAAAAAAAATCCTGGGTAAAAAAATTTAAAAAACAGCGATTTATTCACGTTTTACCAATTCTATTCACCATGATCCATCGCACATTCCATGCTCACAGTGTACATCCCATATTTTAACTGATAAGGACTATCACAGTCCTTATCAGGAATGTGCGATGGATCATTGTGAATAGAATTGGTAAAACATAAATGAATCGCTGGTTTTTTAATTTTTTTTACCCAGGATTTTTTTTGTGGTTCCTATTAACCCATGTAAACAGTTCTGGGTGAGAAATTAAAGCTAGCACGCTCAGGAGCTAACTTTGTCAGACAAGCTCAGACTCACACAAAACTTGGCACGAAGTTGTGTCTAACTATGATTGACATTCTCTAAAAATTTGAAGCAAAAATATTAACCAGAACGTAAGTTATGGCGCTTTTCCATTCTGAAATAAAATAATTAGCAAGATCTCAGCGACCTGTAAAAATTTTAAGAGATAAGGATGGATAGTGTTTTCTGGGCCACCCTGATTAAATATAATTTATAATTAATTATATATATGAGTATCTTTGAGAACAACTTTGTTTAACTATGATTTATGTCAACCTAAGTCGAAAGAAACTTTTTATTTACAAATTAAATGTTTGACTCACATGGTACTTAGAATAAACTGCTCCATAAAACCATCACAAGCTGACCGCAGAAAGAAAACATTCTCAATCATGTCATTATATTTTGATTTTATGACGTCCTGAAAGAATTTAATCAGCAATTTTCACTCTTTTTTGCCAATTCTTCAGCTTTTAGTACAACGAAGAAGAAATTAGGCCCATGTAACATGTAAACAACTCTGATCCTATTTATATTGATAGTTGGTCATATCAAAATGCAAATCAATGAATTTTACCATAATCCAGATATTTTATTCTTACTATTTTCAATGCTAACGGTAGTTCTTTGATTAAACTATCATCATCGTGGATGGTTCCTCCGTATTTGTGATGGAAGTATTCGTGCATCCTCTGATGAAGCTCTGGACTCATGTTGAACCTTCTGGTAAGCTCATCGATATCCTTTAACTGTGGAGAAAAGAGCAGTTATTTGGAATGTAACTAGAAGCTAGTTACAGCATACAATTGAATATTGATCAGTTGAAATTTGAAACGAATGGAAACACGAAGCAAGTAGAAACAATAGTCATGCATGAAAGTAGACTAATTTCTGCCACAGTGAATGTTGAAATATTATGCTTTCATTTATAAAATGTTTGCGCGGCTTCCACAAATGCAATTTTCAAAGTGCGACGAACCGCGCACAACAAACAAAGGTGGTTTCAAATTTCACGTTAACAGGTTATTTGCAATTCAAGAGTTAAAATATCAAATTACATCCCGGTTTAAATTCAAATGATTATCTCCCGCATTTTATCTTAAAAACTCACCTTCTCCGTGTAACGAATATCTCCCATTCGAAACATTGATATAGTTTTCGTCATCTGCGATACTATCATCATGTAAAAGAAAGCACCGATTAACATGGATGGAATTATCATTATAACCTGAAAAGGGACATAACCTTAATTACCAGATGTTAATTTAAATAGTATTTTAAAACAAAAAATCAACAAGAATTATCAGTGCAGCACTGAGCAGTTATGTGTCTTACTTTTGGAGCAAAAAGCAAAGCAGCGCATGTATCTAGGTAAGCACTTTAAACTTTTAAAGGGATCTAATAATGAAGACCAAACCTCGACGGTGTCTCTCGGCGCTTCATGGCCGTAACCAATCGTTATCATATGAGACAAAGATCTAAAAATAGCCCATATGTACTGCTCTGTCCACGCCTTGTCATCAATTTTTAGTCTGACCACCCAGGATTCCGCCGGAAAGTCCCTCACGTACACCACGAAGAACTGTGTACAAGCACTCCAGTGCGCAATCATGAAAAAGAAGCAGAGCAGTTGCAATATCTTGATGACCAATGGACTCAGTTCGAATATCTGAAATATGAATGCAAATAATTGCCAACATTCTGAGTTTTAGTCAGGTTACATCCAGTGCAGGTGCTGGTTCGGTTTTATTCCTTGTCTGTCAACTTTTGAATTATCACAGAATTAATCATAAACACTAAACTGGGAAAGTTGCAGATTTGTGAATCTTTTTTTCGTTTTTCGCTCTTTGCTTAAACGATAAAACTTCATTTCTAATAGTCACCTACCTGAACCCAACGTTTCAAAATAAAATGAAGCCGTCCTAATCTTAGTACCCTGATCAGAGAAAACATTTTCAGGACTTTCGCTGCTAAGAAAGCTTTAGAGGCCCCCAATGCTATCCCAATTTCCTGTAAACATCATGAAGTGATCTTTTGATGATTGAAACTAGACGTTCTGTTAAATCAAGGAATGAATCATGATCAGTTCGATGAATAATACCCGAATAATCTATGATCATAGCAATTTCAGATAAGCCTGTTGCTTTATAAACGTTTCAAATACCGATAGTAGAACAAACTCACAGTATTATTCGTCCCGCTGCCGTTTGCGTTACCCGCTAACTCACTCCCAATGACATCGAAGGGTATTGAGGACAAAAGGTCAGGAACGAACCAAGTCTTCAAATATCTTAGCTGTATTTCTTTTCTGTTTAAATTTATCTGAAGTTGTGAATAATTAAATCATACCTAATTGCAAACTAAGTAATTCGAATTAGTTGTAGTGATGTAATTTCAAATTAAAAGTTTATAAATGCTATGAATCGCGACGGAAGTTGGGACAAACTCTAAAGAGGAACTTGGAACCCTGATGCAGGACTGGTATATATGAAAGGGTTATCTGGGGTAGATCGGATTTTGTTCCGACCTAGTACCAGTAATAGCAGTAGTAGTGAATCAGTAGTGATATGAGCTATTTTTTCGTAAGTTCGTAGATCAGTCCTTACCAGAGGAGGGTTTTGTTTTTGTTCGATTGTCCCGGTAAAGAAGCTTGCGACTACGTCACACAAGAATATAAGATCCAAAACTATGACTATAGGGTACCACGTTTTTCTTTCTTCCTCACGCGATTTGTCATCAAATATCTTGAAAAATGAGAGCTTCAATGGGAGGACTACCATCATTATCATTATCGCCGCCAGGAGGACCGTATCCCAGATAAGCCTGAAATATTTAGCATGCCTAAACGAACGTAAATCATAATTACTCTATTCGATATTCAATTAATAATATATGTGATCAAATAGAACACAGCGAATTGCAGACAAGGTAATACAACCATGAAAACACGTAGTAGAATCATACCTAAAGCTGGATAGAGGGTGTATGATAAATATCTTATCTTCGTTAATTATCTTATCTTGCCGTTGTCTATCCTCTAACACTCCGACCACGCCGTTGTAGAATGTTTTTACCTTCTTGTTGGTGATGTCAGCCTCAAATAGTGCTAGGATCTTACTCTTACCTAACTCCTCTTCAGCAACCTTCTCCCCCATCAACCTGCAAAAGGAACGTCAAATTCCATTAATTCTAATCCAAACAGACTTAGATTATTCCAATTCTAATCTTAGATTATGACTGATGAGAAAAAAACAAACAAACTTAAAACTTTACCCTAATCCGGAGGAGGTTCTATGGATTGATTCAGAACTAGCTATACCCAGGGCTTTTTTAATCATTTGAGCTTGTTTGGGCTCTGGCACGCTCATAGACCGGCTACGACACTTGTGGTACGCCGCAAAAGATGAGTGACGGTCCTTTCTTTCTTTTTTTTCTGGGAGATAAGGGAACGGGTTTTATTGTGGAGCATGACACAATACTGAAAATACTAAGGGTTCTATATTGTCACATGTTTCATAACTTTTTTATAGTGCCAGTCAATGTTTACACAGAAAAAAAGGAGCTGAGGGACAAACCTCAGCACATATACTTGTGCTTATTTCTCACTCACTGAGTGCCCTATTGATACAATTATTTCTGGTATGACTTACAACTATCACTCATTCGAGGAAAATATCAAATCAAATAATAATGATCATATGCTAATTTTTCAGATTTTAGATCTAAAGAAAGCGTGTAGGAATAGAGCGTATATATATATGTAAAAATTTGTTGTAGACTTATGATTTGAGAAATGTGTAAACCCTGCAGCAGCTGGTAGCTGTGTTGAAGTGTAAAAACCTGTTCCACTGCTACTAATGTACGGAACTACAGAGTGTACTCTAAAAAGCAGCATTATTCCCCGTTTAGTGTGCTAGTTGAAGTTTTTCCGTTGCTTCTGGTCTGTGATAATTTGTACTTTTATATTGTAATTAAAACATCTAGAATTCATCATTTGGTAATGGCTGGTTAATTTTCTTATTAATTTTTTGATAATCGTTTTGTAATTCACTTGAGGAGTGTCTGAGTATTTTACCATATTTAGTAAGTTTCTTTTAATAGAGCTTACGTTAACAAAATCATGCGCGTTCTTGTTGTTCATATACGCTTCATTACAAATATTAGAATGTAGTTTAATGCATATCAGCTGCATAATATGTTCTAAAGTTCTAACATCCACAGGGGCACGCCCCTGAACGTCCATTAACTTCACTACCAAATGTTACCTCTCTCCAAGTGCTAACAAAATAACTTAATAAAGTGCATGATAGCATGGCACAGCAACATGGCCTGGTACAAATAACGAATTGAAACAGCCCATTGGCTATTACACGGGGCCAGTGCATGATGCCAGATGTTTCATTAACTACTAGTAGTAGGGGGCGTGGGACAACGACCTGGACTGGTACTTTGTGGTTCCTGGACTGGTATTTTGTGGTCCCTGCCCTGCCTGCCTGCCTAGGTCGATCCAGATGAAATCTGGAACGAGTTTCGTGTCAACGCTTCTCTCCATTTATCCCTATCACACATGAGTAAACGCAGCTGGTCAGGTTCCATTCCAGTGTCTTCAAGTAGGACGTCCGGGAAGGTCTTATGTGGTCGTCCTCGATAACGCTGGCCATAGGATGGTTGCCAGAAAAGGAGTTGTTGAGCAGGTTGGTCCTGTAGACGGTAGACATGTCCTGCAAAACGAAGTCTTCGTGTCTTTATAGTATCTGTCACCGATGGAATCTTTCCGTAAAGAACGGAGTTAGGTGTATGTGATTTCCATGAGATACCAAAGACCCTTCGTAGCATTCTAGTATAAACACCGTCTAGTGCTCTGATATCAGCCTTTTTAAGAGTCCAGGTTTCTGCACCATACAGCAGAACAGGTTCTACTGCAGTTCGAAAAATCTTAGTCTTGATCTTCCTGGACATATTAGATTTCCAAAAAGCATCTAGACTCTGTAAAGCTTTCCATGCGAGGCCTTTCCTGACATTGATGTCTCTGCTTGTTGAGGCTATAAAGGATCCCAGGTACTTAAAGTCATGAACTTCTTCTAAAGGGTTGCCGTTAATAAAGACTCTATCGTCTGAGTTGACAGGTCGCGGGATGTTATAGGACATGTATTTGGTCTTTCCGATGTTAATAAGGAGACCATAACGGGCTGCTATGTCAGAAATGCTTTGGCAAAGGCGGCCATTTTCGCTGAAGCTGTCAGTAATTGTTGCTAGGTCATCGGCGAAGTCCAAATCAGCAATGTAGTTACTTCCAACTTTAAACCCATCACGTGGCCCTATTGCTAGTCTTAGTATGAAATCCAGGACGATGATAAAAATGAGAGGTGCAAGAACATCGCCCTGGAGAATTCCGAGGTTGGTAAGGAATTCTAAGGTTATACCTTCAGGGGTCATGATTTTAGCCTTGGTGTTGATGTAGAGTGACATAATGGCTTTTATGATTTTTCTAGGAAAGCCGTAGGAAGCCAGGATGTCGGGAAGATGCGATCTGAAGATGCAGTCAAAGGCCTTTGAGAAGTCAATAAAGGAGATGACACAAGGAAGCTGGAAGTTCACAACCTCTTCGATGATACGTCTAAGAGCCAGAATCTGTTCACGAGTCCCTCTTCCAGGCCGGAAACCATTCTGGTTGTATCGGAGGCGAGGTTCTATGTGGCTCCTGATTCGGTTTAGAAGCAGCCTGTTGTAGATTTTCGTGGCAACAGGGAGGATGGAGATGCCTCTGCTATTTTCAGGACAGAACTTCTTAGCTCCTTTGGGTATAGGAAGAATGGCAGTGACAAGAAGCTCTTCCGGGGCTTTACCAGTAGCTAGCATGTTGTTGAACAGAGATAGTAAAGTAGTGTCCAAGTCAACACACTTGTACAGCAGAGAAGGAATTCCGTCATGACCGTACGTATCCTTTGTCTGCTTGAGAGCTGTAGATAGTTCATCTGCTGAGAACGGTGACGTTTCAATTGGGAGTTCTGGCTTTTGGACTTCAAAGCTACCCATTCTGATGTTGTCAGCAGGATTGTAAAGCAGTTTGCTGTAGTGGTCAGTCCACGCCTTTGCTCGATCTGCCTTGTTTCTATATCCAGGTAATGGAGACATAGATTTAGGCTTCCGATTGGTAAGGTCGTTAATAAGCTTCCACGCAATACCAGAGCTGTTTGATTTCGTCTGCCATGCTGCATACCCTGGGTGGTTTGCGGGTTGCGGAGTTTTGTGGTACCATCATTATAATATTATTACATTTTCTTTATGGATTACAATTTCAATATTCTAGAAATTAGGCAGGTCACTAAACTCCATTAAACTATCAGTATTCCTAGACAGGGACAGGGTTATTGTAATGAGAACAATACTCAATGGTGTCTGGACTAGGAACCAGCTTACAGTACAATACATTACTACTATCAGCCTATAAATACCACTATACCATCACGGCAGCTACAAACTTTAAAATTCATTTATGGTTCAATTGTGCAAGTGGCTCCAGAATGCAGACATTATGTAAAATATCTTTGTGGTGCACCGCTGCAAGTGTCCCATATTTCACCAAATTTTCGATAAACATATCTAAATTCATTATGTTATGAGTAATACGTCATGAAACCGGCTAAAGTGCCACACAAACACTTATAATTTATAATCAACACTAAAGTTAAGCAAAGAAAGAAAACAATTAATCAGGAAAGCCGGCACATTCATCATCTCACCGTGCGAAACCTAAGTACTATTTAAATATTATACACAACCTTTTGCAAAGTTTATTAAACGTCTCCCCTCCTCAGCGTTCCATGTAATGCTCCATGTAATGCTTGACAGTGTATATACAGTGAGTGCATGACAGATAGTGTACGAAATGTGCAGACCCCAGGTGAGGGGTAATATTGGCGGGTCTGCAAGTGTGCATGTAGTGACGACTATAATAACTGTATAATTGGAATGGCAGCAGAAGTATTTCGCAAGGTGAAAGTGTGCAGTTCCATGCAAAGGTGAAAGTGTGCAGTTCCATTTTGGAGACCAGTGCAGTGGTCATTATATTATAGGTGAAGTAATGACTTGTCCTTTCTGGGACCAGGTCGAAGGTACATCAGACCGATGTTGATATCATACATATCAGTAGTCAGTACATTCTGTTATTTAATCTAGTTCAAAGTATAAATCCCTTTTTCACTGACCAACATAAATAATAGGAAATGGTGAAAAGTAAAATGCCTTGAATAACGGAACATTTAACAGAACTTTAGAGATGATGTAAGGCGTGGTTCGAGTGCAGCTGACGAAACTACGGAGAGAGAGAGAGAAGATGGCTGTTTATGGATTTTCTATTTTTCTGGGATCCATCTCTATCTTCATACATGTTACCATTTTGCTTATCCTCGCAATATTCAAGTTAGTCCGAGCGGGCTAACTCCTAACTATTCAGTATTCGAGGGGTATTTTATCCGGAGTATAATTATGGAGTTTTGTAGCACATATTTTCACTGCCTCCCAATTGTAGCAACATGTTCTGTTTGAGTGGTGTTCACCAACATTTCACTTCCAGAAGACACCGGGATAACAAGGGAACGTACTTCGACGCAATGATGTGTGGGTGTATGGCAGTGTACCTCTCTCTATATTATATGGCACTGAATTATCCTGAGGGAGTACCGGCCGAGGAGAAGGATATAGGGAAACGGAACCTGCTGTCCTGTATTGTTATTGTAAGACACGGAACCTGCTGTCCTGTATTGTTATTGTAAGAAGAAGCAGATCTTCTAACCTGATGTCCTGTATTGTTATTGTAAGAAGAAGCAGATCTTCTAACCTGCTGTCCTGTATTGTTATTGTAAGAAGAAGCAGATCTTCTAACCTGCTGTCCTGTATTGTTATTGTAAGAAGAAGCAGATCTTATAACCTGATGTCCTGTATTGTTATTGTAAGAAGAAGCAGATCTTCTAACCTGCTGTCCTGTATTGTTATTGTAAGAAGAAGCAGATCTTCTAACCTGCTGTCTGTATTGTTATTGTAAGAAGAAGCAGATCTTCTAACCTGCTGTCTGTATTGTTATTGTAAGAAGAAGCAGATCTTCTAACCTGCTGTCCTGTATTGTTATTGTAAGAAGAAGCAGATCTTCTAACCTGCTGTCCTGTATTGTTATTGTAAGAAGAAGCAGATCTTCTAACCTGCTGTCCTGTATTGTTATTGTAAGAAGAAGCAGATCTTCTAACCTGCTGTCCTGAATTGTTATTGTAAGAAGAAGCAGATCTTCTAACCTGCTGTCCTGTATTGTTATTGTAAGAAGAAGCAGATCTTCTAACCTGCTGTCCTGTATTGTTATTGTAAGAAGAAGCAGATCTTCTAACCTGCTGTCCTGAATTGTTATTGTAAGAAGAAGCAGATCTTATAACCTGATGTCCTGTATTGTTATTGTAAGAAGAAGCAGATCTTCTAACCTGCTGTCCTGAATTGTTATTGTAAGAAGAAGCAGATCTTCTAACCTGCTGTCCTGTATTGTTATTCAAGCTTAAAACTTAGGTAGTTGCATGAAACTTCGTCAAACTATTGTATTCAAGACTTCTAATTAATTCCAGATTTTGCTAATGCTGGGTTTCATGATCGCCTCGCTGAGTTACATGTGTGCTGGAGCTTTCTGGTACTTCATCAATACAACATCTCCTTCTAAACCTTCCTCTGCTAATAGGGTACTACAACTTAGCTCTGCCGTAGTATCGGGCTTTGAATTTTCCTTTACACCTTAACAGTTAACATTTCACTTACAATAACACAGACTCTTAGTTAAATATATAATATGCTAACTTTAATTCTTCTTTTAAGATCCAGAGTTTTCTGTTACCTGCACGTACTTTAACTACAATTTACATGTATTGGAGATTTATGAATGTAACTACAGGGTGGGCCAAAAGTCAGTACCCATACGTTGGCCTTTATAGCTCAGTCACTGAGTGCCCAATTTAAATACTTCTTTCTGGTATGACTTACTACCAACACTGGTTCGAGGAATTTGTCAACTCGAAAAATATTCGCGTTCATTTTTTTCAAATGGAGGTTCATTTTCACATTTATTTGATAGTTTGGATAGTCAGATCAAGCTAAATGTTATTGAATTGTGTTTGGCCATTCGAATTACGTTTGTCCTGAAAGAATTAGAACTGTAGCTTCTCAGATGACCGAGATATGAAGCATAACGAGTTTATTCATTACGTGTGATCAGGTGATTGGTTTACCTAATCACGTGATAAGGTGACCCTGTTAACTACCCCGTTAAACATTATGGGAATTGTTAAGGGTGCCCAATTAAGGTGTCGTGTCACGGTGTCACATAATCACCCAGTCAATTTTGTTAACGAGATACAGAAAATGCTTGATAACTTCGTCATTTCTAATCCGTTTTGCCCCATGTTTTCAGATCATATGCAACATTTGATAATCTACCGTCTCTGAAAAAATTAGGCGTTCAGCATGTCCAGAGAAAACAATATAGGTGTTTTAATATTGAATGGGCGTGGTCTAAAATATTCGAATTTTCAAATTTTGACGACGGAATCCTCGAACCAGTAAGTACAGTATGCCATCTGCAAAGCAACATCTCTCAAATATAAAACACGGCGGAGCTATTAAGGCCAACGTATGGGTACTGACTTTTGGCCCACCCTGTATTTACAACCCACAGGACACCGAAGGAGCTAAAAGTGTTACGTTTGAAAGTGAAGTTAAAAGTGAAGAGGGGAATAACAGTGTGAAGCGCGAAACTTTTCTGAGACAAACGAACAACAAGATAATGTTAGCTATCACTAGTGAGTCATGAATAAATAACTTTACACTTCTTTATTTGACATCCTTATAAGTCTTCGGCATTAATTGACGGAGGAATCTTGTGGGGCAGTAGAATTTAGTTTTTGATCTCAATCATACTTCAAACACGCAGTGACATATTTGTTGTTTGTTAGTTGTATTTCAACTTTCCACAAATTTAATTATTAACAGCATATTAAAAACTAATTAAAAACATACTGAAATGACAAGGCTCGCTGCTTGTGCTTTGCTTCCTCAGAGTTTCAGATGAAATCTTCTCCAATACTGTCTATAAATAATTAGTTATTAAAAAATCTTGGTACATATATAATATATAATTAATAACTATACAAGACATAAAGTCCAGTCCAGCCTGCGTGATTCTAGCAAAACATGAATTATAGATAAAGCTTAAAATTGAATGAATGAATGAAATTTAAGTTGCTAGTGCCTACTATTACCAAATACTAAAACTATGACTGAGTATGACGTAATAGAATGTAATTTGAAATGTAATTCTGATATATTGGAATGTATTTCTGATATGGAATGTAGTTCTGATAAAATGGAATGTTGCTCCAACGAATACCTTCTTGTGATCAGCAGACAACATATTCTCATTACTTGTAGTTTGATTAATATGGAGTGGCGATTCTTCTTCGTCTTCGGAATCAACATTATTTTCACACGTGGAAGAAAGGTGAAGGACTTCGAGTGATTTTCTGTCAAAATGAGTGAATGATCTTGTGTAATTTTATTTGGATATTGCGACTAAAGAGGAAATGGTCGCTCCGATATTAGTCATAAAATTAGAGATTCTCATGCAGATAATAGCACATTAACGCAGTTCAAAACAATGTCCTGCATTGATAAAGCAAAGTTATGTTGCCATGCCAACGGAAGAGTATTTTATTACTCAAATATAAGAAATAAATCCTTTGCTTAAAATTAAAATTAAATGCAAGATGTTGAGAATATAATTCTAACAAGAAAGGAAGCTACAGCTCCTTACGACTTAGTATAATGAACGTTGTACGGTTGTACTTTTGAATTTTACTTTACTATTAATGGAGTATGGATCATGATAGTGCTATAAATACAACCAAATGGAACAAATTTATCGAAAAATTAATTACAATTTATGCTGAAATTTTTACCTAGATCCATGAGAGGATGTTTTTGAAGAAGTTTTGCTGCTATTCGATCTTCGAGGTATTATGATCGGAGGTAATTGGATTGGTGTGACTTCTAATCTGAAAGTTCGTAAATCATGTCGAGCTACTCCTGACATATCTAAGAAAAATACCACAAAATATTTTAAAACCATTCAGATAAAAATCACAAATGGGTTCCGTAATTTTTTGATCTTGCTACCTTGGAAATCGGGTGAAGTCTGAAGATCCTACGGTATCATTATTGCCTTCTTCTTGACCTGCCAATTCGTCAATGTTTTCAAGATCGTGTTGCACATAACTCATCTCGTCTACCAGCTGAATTAATCTTCTTTCTCCATTTAGCTTTAGTTATGCTACTAAGACAACTTCATTTAAAATAAATATCAAAACAGCAAGGAAATCAAGTAACTGGTAGGCATTGTTCAGACTTCTATTTTAGGGAAATGTTTCGAATTTTAGTTTTAATTATATGATGTTCGAAATATTTCGGGATCAAGAAATATTAAAGCTCTATTCAATTTCAGTGGCATCATTGGGACTGCCTGTTCTCTATATTCTAATTAACATCTTCATGAGTGACGATACTGACGCTGATATCATTCATTCTGATCACCGGTAAGATTTCATTTAAAAAAATTAATTTTATACCAATTATTTAATACCAATACCCATTACCCATTACCCACTTCCCCATATGCCTGAAATTTTAGGATAAGTAAGCAAACCAAGAATAGCGGTTGCAACACAGGGACATAGTAATTCGCGTAAGTATTACTTACTGAAATTCGTGATCTTTACTTAATTATTATTAATGTGTAACCCACCCATCTATTCAATAACCCAGGTGTTGGCTAGGAGGTGCTGGAGGGGAGCTAATGTGGGCTCTAATCTTCCTCCCGTGTATCTTAACAATCACCACAACCATTATTCTCTACTTGTGGGGTGGCTTTAAGACAAGCGGAAGAGAGCTTCTGTCCGCAACTAAAGATACTAAGCTGCTCAACTTACAGGTGATTTGCGGCGGTAGTTTTCTGAGAAAATGAGGTAATTGGTTAAAGGTTGCTTAGTTTTGAGTTTGCTGTATACATGAGGTAATTGGTTGCGTAGAGCTATAGGTAGTGGTTCAACTATTTAACTATAGACCACAAACGGGCTATTATCTCCTTACATTAGGTTTGTAGCTCTGTTGCCGCTGATGTTACTAATAAAAGAAAAGGCTAAGTTTTTATGAATGTCTCAGCAATTTCAAAAAAATCGAAAAAAAAACATATGGCATCTAGTATTTGTTACTTAAATGGTTTCAACTTTCAAATATCACATGATACTCGACTTACTCGTCACTACACAGCGATGGTATGTGTAATTGCGTACCTAATAAAATTTGTGTCTCAGTTTAGAGTGATATTAGCGGCTGGACTTGGACTTTGGTGGCTGATTGAAATTCCAGCTCTGTCAAAATCGTCTCTTGGAGTAGTTCAGCATATCAATGGTACAAAAAACAAATTTCTCTAAGCGTATAAGGTGTGTCGAATTTCTCTATAGGTATATAAAGGTGTGTCGTGCTGATTGTAAAAATTCGTTTTTGAATCAAAAATTTCACTAAATGAGTAAATAATTCAATAATGATTATTTCAGGATTTATCAATATACCTTTTGCTATCCTGACATTTTACACATTTGTAACTCAGAGGCCAGAAGTTCTAGAAACATGGAATCATCATTTTCCGATAGGTAAGAAAATTTAAAAATCATGTTTGGGTAACGACTGTGGACGGACAGCTGGCATAGCAATACTGATACCACTTCATCTTAATTTGTTAATTTCTACCACGTCAAATGAATTCTTTTAATCTCTGATTTTTAGCCCGAAAAGCAAAGAAAGAGGCTTCAATGGTGTGGAAATACTACATCTACCGTCCGGTAATGCAGAAACTGTTTAGACACCAAAGCAAATCGAAGAAAAGAAGTACATCCCCAGGTTCAACCCCAACCAACCCGCCAGGACCTGCTGAAGAAAGTGCAGCCCCTCTTGATGTGCCACCACGGCCCGCTCAGTATTTTAGCACTGAGGAGTCAATGGCGGGAGAATACGTAGAGTTTGAGGAACCGAACCACTACGTAAACGAGGTAGTGCTGGAAGAGGAGGGTGAACATGTGCCAGATTATGATATGCCACCAAAAGTGCCAGAATACGATATGCCAGCACCACCACAACTAGCCGGAGTATCCAGTTATCAGCTAGGGGAACAGCAAGGATATGACAACCTACAGCGAGAAGAATCTCCCCTGTACATAGATCCTGTTGAGGAGGGCGGAAATGATTACACTTTGACTAGACTTTGAAAATGTATTATAATTGTGATAGCAAATAGTGCAATATCAGGCTCAAAAATAACCAATAACAATAACACTCGCTTCAAATAGTCGAAAATAATTCATCTGTTATGTGAGCGTCAGAAATTTAAACTGTTACTGATGCAAGGTGTAACATAAATATTAAAAAAGATTCTTTCCATGTACATTGTACTCCAAATCGATGGTAGACTTTTACAATCGTGGTCAATGGATTATAATTGTCAGATACGAAACAATATTAATTGTCAGATAATATTGAAAAACAGAGTTTTAACTTTTACTCAGTAAAAATTTTACTGCTTAAGGTTGAAGAAAAACATGGGATAGCATGATCAGGAGCTACTTTTAACGAACAAAAAACCAATTCTTACGCGATATAAGTAATCTGATAATATTATTGCCACTTAAAATATTCCCAAAATGTATTGTGAATTGTTGAAATTAAATTTAAGCTTTAAATTGTTCATCATTATCAAACTTCTAAACTAATTTCGTCAGAAAATAAAGTTGCACATAATTACTTCAATTAGATCAGTCCATGGGTACTAGTGCCTCTGTCAACATAGCCTATAAGCAGACAATATATTACAGTATTGATAATATATTTTTATATATTTTATAAACAAACAAAGTTAAATATTCAAATCATAGGAAACAATACCCATATATATAATACAGTATACAGCATATATTACGTGTACTAATCATGTATAATAAGGAAAAATCTATAACAAAATTAAGTGGTATTACTTAGTTAGTACATACATAAAATGTTCAACATGTGTAGTGTGCTGCATAGAGCAACTCAAACAACTAAATTTTTTTGAGCTTACAAAGGTTTAAATACTCGAAATACTATCCATAAAAGTCACATACAGCAACAAAATGAATAATATCAAAAATATCATTCTTCAGAGCAGAGGATGATCTCAAGAAAGATCTTCAGTGACTGAAAATTTGTCAAAATAAATCTGATTAGACAAGTCCTATGAAACCAGCTGTACTCAGGATTTACTGGGTTGCAAGTTCCGTGAGTTGAAATGATGGGGACATCTACAATTATAATGAGGATGTCCATGTCCACATCCCATAACTGGTCTGCCAACTGGTTGCAGGGAAAGTGATGGTGATGTCATTCCAGCCTGGAGAAAGAAGGTGGTGAATACATTGGTTAACTGGAGAACTTTAAAAACTATGAACTGTCATAGTTATGAGGTGAAAAATTGCAACTTTGATCAATGCAAAGCTAAGTTTTCAATGAAACGATAAGTTTTATTTTACATTCCTTTAATCATAAATAAAATATGAGCTTAAACCACGAATTAGTTAACTAGAAGTAAACTTGAGCCTGAGGAAATATTCTTTGGTGATCGTATTTATATAATTATTTTAAAAACTTTATTTGGTTGTGAGTATTTTTATTATGGCAAGTTGTTGAATTTAGTGAGACAAGGTCAGTTTCTCTATTGTCTTAGAAAAATGTCTACTTTACAGTAGGCAATACCGAGTGGCAGGAATGAGGGACCAAAACGCTTGGGGCTAACAATGGCCCAAGTTGATAAGTTTGCATTTTATAAGTTTATAGGGATTAGAGTTATATGAGTAAAATCAGACCATCAGAACAAAACTTACCTTAGCTTTCCTGGGGTAGTTATGAAAGACGTTGCAGTTCTTGAGCAGCTGCTGGGTATCATTTAAACTCTGAAATTGTTTCGAATTAGTAATGGCATAATAGATTTTTATGATTTCCGGCAGATTTAAGGATAAATGTCGATCTTTCTCAATTTCAGGAACCTTTTGTAAAGTATTATTAAAACTTTAAAAACGATAACAGATGTTTAGTACTCACAACAAAGTCGTCAAAAGGATCTAGTAAACTTGAAGAAAATAAAGACTGTTGCTGGCTGCGCTCGCGCTTGCTATTTTGACATCTAACAGAGGAATTTACATAATCTGTGGTCTTGCAATTTCGACTTTGAATACGAATTTCTTTCTCTTCATAATTATAAGCCACATTAAGGTTTTTAGAATGATGATTGGGAGATTTGACAGACAAAATATCCTCTGAGGTAAAGTTTTGTATATCTGACTCCAGCTCTGCGGCCACAATATTGAGCATTTCTTTGTATTGAGTGCTGCAATCAAGGGCTGAAAAAGTCGTATTAAGCTCATGTCATTGTTAATTCATGTAATATATAAATATAATTAAATATGATACGTTTGGGACATCAGGAGGTGTCTGCTAAGCGGCAAAAGCAACAAAAGTGACAAAGATTGATTTTTTTGATTGGGAACTGGGTTTTACTACCCCAGTTAATGTTTACTAAAATAGATATTGAACAGCAATTTAATAAGATAAAAATCGTACCAGCGTACTTTAAAATCTGTATGATTCATGAAATTAAAAGTAGCTATGACCATTAAGAGTTAAATATATTGTTTATATTCCCCATCATGGACTAGTGGCTCAACAAAACTGCGTCGGAAATTAAAGCTCAGCTAAAGCCTGAAGACTATTCAGTCTTGTATAGAAAATAACTACAGCTACCAATATGTCCCTCACAAACATGGTCCAAAACATATCAAAACAGCACACGAAACACACACTCAAAAAAAAGTTGTCAACCGTTGCTCTCATCGGCACAATAAATTTGCCCGTCCTTTATGTAAAACTTTTTGGTCGGTTCTGCAAGTGCCCGCTTCTTCATGTCCTGTACCAGATCTTTCCGGAGCTTCCTCTGTTCGACAGACCGATCAGGGCTCAAGAAAACTGTCTTAAACTTCTCACTCTGCCGCAGGTTCCTGGCATTCCTCAGAATCTGATCAACGATGAGCGAGTTTGAGGTGATAACTTTAACTGGTCGCGTTGAGTCAACCGTTTTCTTTTTTCCTATTCTCTGAGCCTCTACTTTTGGCTTTATGCCAATAGTTTCCAGAACTTCACTGACTTGAGATTCGAGCTTCTCTTCTTTTTCCTCAGGCAGACCGAAGATAAGAAGGTTCCTGCTGCGGTCCTCCTCTGCAACAATAGTCTTGACTACAGACGTCAATGCTTCCGGGCTGATTACTGGAGACTGTGCTGGCCAACTTTGAACGACAGAGCTGTAAGATTGGAACTCCGCTTTCACTGAATCAGCAACTGAACTTGACACAGTTTTCTTCATCGCTTCAAGTTGCTCAATCTTGCAAGCTGATAGCTCGGCCTGAACACTGATAACCTGCTCTTGCTTCTCAATTAACTGACCCTGAAGTCTGGTCAACACATTCTTATACGTTTCAACGGTCTCCATAAGATAGTTCGTATACTCAAAAGATCGACCACACACATCGACAATCTCCGGCTTATTCAGTCTGTTGAAGTTCTTAGCGTCCGCAATGTCCTTTAACTTTCCGTACGGCTTGCCAAATTTCTTCAGAGTCTCTTTGCTCCAGGTGAACATCTCATTCCACATGTAATTGATACTTTCCAAGTCCAAATCTGCCATCGTAAAGATCAGCACAACAAGCTAGCAGCGCAGTAGCGTTGCAATTATCAAGAGATAAGCAGTGCGATAACGAGAGCTAACAATTTTAAAACGGCAGTGAGAGTGTATTTCGACTAATGAAAGTGTCCCTGACACAGCCAAGAGCACTTCCAAGCTGTTTAATTAGTCAACGATCTGTGCATATTTTTCAGGTATTGCAAAAGAAAATACACTCGTCTCGGCAATGCAGTATAATTTCAACAAAATAGTAATTCAGCAGCACAAAAGCAGTACAATTTTAACAAAATAGTAATTCAACAGTACATATTCCTCTACTTACATGGTGAGGAGAGTATAGTTTGTAATTTGAGAAGACTATTGTCCCATATGTGTTCGTGAGGATACAGCTGTTCCACAATTACTCTTGGTTTCATAGCTGGCAAAATAAATCATCTTATTTATAAACAAGTAACGACAAAATTATAATGATATAACAGTGATACTTCTAAAATTGACTGCGGCTGCAGTAACTGGTTCTCATCCAGGCCAGTTGGACATTGTTGTACTTTCCAAGTGTGCACTGAATAAGTGAGTTTGCTGTGTGACACAGTTATCCTGTGCTTTGTGAACAGTGTAGTAGTTTTAAGTACTGTGTTTACAGTACACAGCAATGTAGATGCACTAAAGCGGTACCCCAAGAAGATTCCTGATCTTTATGCAGGACCCTTCCTCATTTAAATCTTGATCACGTTTCTGATCATTCGGCTGATCCGACCGGACGAAGAGACAGTACACAGATAAAGTAAAGTAAAGTAAAACTAAAGTAAAATTTATGACATCAAATCATCACATATGTCTACAAAATATCATCGCACTATGTGAAAAAAATATATAACAAATATTTCCCCACCAACATTAATAATTTATCAAATACAATATTTAAAAACAATTTATCAAAACGTTATCTTATTTTAAAAACCTAATCAAACTTCCCAGTGGAATAAAGATTTATAAAACGCTTCTTTGCAATATAAGGATGAAACCAAAGATAATCGTTATGTCTTTATTACTGACATAACTGGCTCCCTCAATTCTTACTAAAATTTCATTAGAAACATTCTAAAAAAGCAATCATTTGTAATACTTTTAGAAATTGAAATAAATTTTCGTGCACATACAGAATGAATGGTTAATAATTTAATATATATGTAGACCAAGGTCTATGCACGGGATGCTTCCTGGAAGAATCCAGTTCTTTTAGCGGGGCACCCTACCTAAAGCCAAATTGAGATATAATAATCATATTCCTAAGAAATAATCAGAAATCGAATAACAATCAAATAATATGATATATAGGAGTAGTAACCATATTTACTATGCAAAATGCCCCAACCACATAGTGTAAATTTATATAGAATTCAAATTCCATATCATCATTAAACCTCAATAGTCAATATAATAATATAATAATAATAAGTAGGAATTTATACATCGCTTTATAGCCATAAAGAACTCAAAACCCAAAGATTCAGTTCAAACCATCTAAAGCGACTCATGAGTAACATATACATAAGAACTTATTTTTATGAAGTATGGATTTTATGAGAGAGGTAATACATGATACTTATACAAATACGTTTTCAAAGAGATGAGTTTTTAGTTTCTTTTTAAATAAGACGATATCAGTTAGTGTTCTCAATTGATAAGGAAGCTGATTCCAAACAGAGGGTCCGCAGTAGCTGAAACTTCTCTCGGTTTTACTATAGTTTGAAATAGGAGGAACATTTAGGAGGAAATAGTCTTCTTCAGTTCTTAGTACACGTACAGGTTGACTCTTGATGTCAATACATTTGGTGATATACTCCGGCGCTATGTTGTTGACGCATTTGAACACGGTTAGAGCAATCTTATACTCTATTCGTTGTCGTATTGGAAGAAAATGGGCTTTTTTCAGGAATGGAGTGACACTGTCCCATTTTTTGATAGCTTTCCAACCAAACAAGAATCGAACACAGGAATTTTGTACCTTCTGGAGTTTCTTTATGAGAAGATCGGGTAAACCGTATAGGAGTCCATTGCAGTAGTCTAGTTTTGAAAAGATCAAGCAGTGAATGAGCTGTCTTTTTAGATCATAGTTAAGCTTTGAGCCTATAACTCGAAGGTTCCTCAGATGGATGTTGCAGCAACTGATAATTGAATTTATTTGATCTTCAAATGTTAGGAATTGATCAAATAGGACACCTAAACTTTTCACTGTGCGGGATGCATCCACTGGGTCAGCTGCATTGTCAAGTTGTATTGAATCGACTGGACATGAAGAGTAACTGTTCTTGGTCTGTACTACAAGAGCTTCTGTTTTGTTTTGGTTCAGTTTGAGTTTATTTTGGGTCATCCAGGTTTTAATATCTTCAAAACAATTTGTTATTCTCTCTTCGATTGTTGACAGATCTCGAAATAGTGGGTTAAACTCAATGTACAGTTGAGTGTCATCTGCGTACATGTGGATGTTAAATCCATGTCTCTTTGCGATCTGATTGAGCTCCTTTGTGTAAAGTATAAACAGAATTGGACCTAGAATTGAACCTTGCGGGACTCCAATTCTAAGGAAGCATCTCTTTGATCTTGATTTATCAATAGTTACTGTGAAGGATCTGTTATTAAGGTATGATGTAAACCATTCGAGAACAGTACCTTCAAAACCAAAGTCCTTTTTTAGTTTTTTTAGGAGCAAGTGATGATTTACAGTATCAAAAGCAGCACTGAGGTCCAAAAGGAGGAGGATAACCTTGCTTTTCATGTCACTGATACAAAGAAGATCATTGTAGATGGTAAGGGTTGCAGTTTCGCAGCTATGATTTGACCTATAACCACTTTGATGCTCAGCATGAAGATTGTGATAGTCAAGATGTTTGGTCCAAGCAAAATTAAATAACTTCTTATATACCTTACTGTCATACTACAAATTAATTAAACATTTAAAATCTGTTAACCAGAGAATAAATCTCTAAACCTAATGCAAGTGAAATAATTTAGATGCAATAATGAATGCCTAATGTGAGTATCATCTGTCAATGTCCTTGCAAAACAGTCTGTACAAGAGATATGAGTAACTAATATAGAAGAAAAAACAGGAAGTTGTCGTCTGTTGAAAAATAAATAAAATATCTAGAATATAAATTAGAATATAAAATAACATTCAGTCAATGTGTCGTCAATAAACTGTACAATTATCAAATGTTAAAACTGGGTGATACAGTCACCAAAAATAAATACTAAGTATAATAAGTTAATAGATTAAATGTGGTCTATAAAACTACCACTAGGTATAATAGGTCAATAAATTAAAAGTGGTTTATAAAACTACCACTGTGCGAACCCCTTCTCCAGTTAAAACATGTCAGTCATGTGCAAAATCAATCAGAATGGTACGGTGGTAAAAAAGGGAATATCCTTTCGATACATCAATTATATATGCCTCAGATTTAAAAGAATTAGAAGATACTTAGTTATCGTCGACTATGATTGCAGTGTAAAATTTGTCATATGAATTGTTGACGGTATAATTAGGGTCTGTTGTTATAGATGAGAGTAGCTGTTTCTTATACGAATCACTAAAGCTTTTAACATCGGGCAGATTTCGTAGATCTGTTGGAACATTATTCCAACATTTTGCCCCCAAGTATTGAAAGTTTTTATGTGATGTTGATCTATTAACATATAGGTTGCAGCTTTCGCCGCTCCTACTACCTCCTGATATGTAACTAAATTTGTTCATAAAGTTTGTAGGACAATTGTCATGGATGATTCTAAACATATAATTTGACAGATGGAGTTGTCGTCTAAGATGGAGTGGTAACCATTTCATGTCTCTATAAAAATTAAGGCTGCTCTCTGTTTGTGGAACGTTGAGAGCTATTTTGGCTACCTTTTTGTACAGAGTGTCAAGTTCAGCAAGTTTTGTCTTGCCAGCTCTACAATAGATCGTGTCTAAATAATTGAATTGTGGCAACATGAGTGCATTGGCAAACATTTTCCTATATTTAATGGGTAGCAGTGCTTTACTTCTATACATGGCACCAATTCTCTTCATGACCTTCCTAATAATATAATCTACATGGCTTTTGAAGTTTAATTTACTATCTAGAATGAGGCCAAGATATTTTGTCTCTTTGCACTCCTTGATTGTGAAAGTTACCTCATTACATTCAATGGTTAATTCATCATGTTGATCAACAGAATCAAACAATAGGAATTCAGTCTTCTTTTCATTGAGTGATAATTTATTAACACTGAGCCATTTAAAGATTGTCATAAGTTCTATTTTCATGTTTATAAATGTGCTTCTGCAGGTTTGATCAAAAAATAGTGCACCATCATCTGCAAATAGAAAGGGCTTAGATAGGTTACAGGCATAAATGATGTCATTTATGAAGATACTAAATAATATAGGCCCAATGATGCTTCCTTGTGGTACACCACTCAGAACTTCTAAAAATGAGCTTAGTTTGCCATTGATCCTTGTGCATTGATATCTACAAGATAAGAAGTTCTTAAACCAGGTTAAAGCAATGCCACCAATTCCATAAAGTGCCAATTTTTGAAGCAATATTTCATGATTCACTGTGTCAAAGGCCTTCTTAAGATCAAGAAAGATGATTCCTGGTTTATAAGACTTAGATTTACTCATATATATTTCGTCCATCAGATCGTACATCAAATAAGTTGTGGAGTGATTTTTCCGAAAGCTATATTGATGCCGGATGAAAAGTTTGTTCTCTTCCATGTAATCAGTGAGTTGCTTGCCGACAAAGTATTCTATAAGTTTTCCTACAAGTGGAAGGATGGATATTGGCCTGTAATTATTAGGATCATCTTTAATTCCTGCCTTATGGATGGGAGTTACTCTAGCTTTTTTACAAAGGTATCTTTCTTAAATCCTTCTAATTTAATTTTAAAGCCTAAAACTGTCACAGAATTCTTGCCGTCCGGGGGGGAGTTTGTTCCAATATGGAATAGCTCGCTCCGGGAGAAAATACTTCTGTGTTCTGAATATTCTTGATTTTAGTTAAACTTCTACTATACTATACTTCTACTATACTTATACTATACTACTTCTATTGCTTGAAACAAGATTAAGACCGACTCTGCTAATTCAAAACATTAGATATCCAATGGATACTTAGTTACTCCCTAGTATAGATTATGTGACACTGTGATTCGAACCTGAAAACTTCTGGGCGTAAGGCGGAAGCTCTAACCACTAGGCCACCTACCCATAGTAGGTAGAAAGGGTACTGCCAATAAAAACACTGTACAAGTTACCTTTTATTTAGGACACATACATTTAAATATCGCTGCGCGATATTTAAATCATCCACATGTATATATTCAGTTATGGAAAATGTTAATAATAATAGCATGAAAAGTCAGACGAAAAT